ACGAAAGTTAAAACAAGAGCCTATTCAGGGACACAGGGAGCAACATTACAGGCAATGTTAGTACATAAAACAGATCCATGGGGTGACTTGCCTCCACACTGCAATAGTCACACATGGAGCACTTGAAGGGCTTCTCATGTGTGTGTTTGTAGCGACGATGACGCACCAGCTCGCCACTGGTCACAAATGCCATGTCACAATCTGTGCATTTATGTGGCCGAGTGCCTAAACAAACCGAACACAATAAAAGGTTATTAGTCAAGATGGTTAATGCCTGCGTTGTCAAATAGACATTTAAAGCAGGGAACAGTAATCAATCCTGGATTTCTGAATTTCTGAGTTCTGAATAACTTAAAAGAAAAATAACTTCAATATCTTTAATAATCCAGTTTAAATTTCATTTTTGAATTACCTGTGTGTGTATTCAGGTGGTTTCTCAGCAGTGTAACTGTTCTAAAGGCTCGTCCACACAAGTGACATTTATGTGGTCTCTCGTCTGTGTGGCTCTTCATGTGTCTGTCCAGGTTGGAGCGCCTTGGACAGGTGTAGCTACACAGCTCACACTGGAAAGTCTTCTTCACACCTGAACACAAAAGAGCACATAAGTAGATAAATAAAAGAAGTGCAAATGTACACTATTATGATTGTATGATGGTAAGATGAAAGGAGGCTCATAAGGTTCTGTGTAAAGGTCTCACCTTTTTTCTTAATCTTGGTGGGCTTTGGTGGCTTCATGTTGCCAACAACTTTCTCAGCATTTACCTCTGACAGCAGCCCATCCTGCTGCTCTTCTTCAAAGTCATACACTGAAACATCCATGTCACGAACACCCTCCCCGTAGCGCAGGCGGCTTTTATTTCCCTTCTTTCCTTTGCGGATGGTGCTGATGGGCTGGTATTCTGGGTCCTTGGTCCATTCTGGGTCTTCTTGCTGAGATAGATGTGCATCTACTGCCCCTTCTTCCTCCTCCTCCTCATCAACCCTTGTCCCTTGAAGCTCCTCATGGGCTGCCTGAAGCTCCTCCTGCTCTACAGTTTCTACTTCTCCATTAGCACCAACCTTCACCACCTTAAGAAAACATCACAATTTTAGTCTTAGCATGAATTTTGTAAACAATGGAGTGCAGTTTGAGAAGGCAAAGTTTTTGCTTGTTTTGTACCTGAAAGCCCTCGGGCAAGGGAAGAGTGTGGCAGATAACAGGATCTGCATCCTTGTTAGCTGTTGATGCATCAACATAGGTCCCCTGCAGGCCCTCTACAGTTCCTGATGTGACGGGTACCTGCACCAACTGAAGCTGACCAAGACCTAAGGCAGCGCCTGCCTGCTCCTCCATATTCACCACCTAGAAAGAAGAAAAAACCCTTTAAATATAACCTTGTAAAATAAACAAAGCCACTGACAAATCCATGCGTTAACATGAGCAAATACCTGCAGTGTGATGATCTGACCCTCGTCTCCACCAGTAACCGTCACTGTGCTACCGCCCTCCAACACCTCTGTCTTCATTTGCAATAGAGTAGGATCAAGAGCATCCATCACCATCATCTCCACATTCCCAGCCACTTCCCCCTGTTGAGCAATGGTTACCCCTTGTATCAAGGTGTCCCCACCTTCTGGCAGGACCTTTCCATCAGCAGCCTGGGTGGTATCCATAGAAACAGCCTCGCCTTCCATGGCGACAGGCCGACTGCCACCTATAATGGGATAGACATATACTGTAAGTAGTGATAAATGGCCATTATTGACATGGTGTTGATGCAATCATGGAAGAAACCTGTTTCGGTACAATTTATATTACATTATTAAAATGTAGAATAAATTATTTTGACACAACAAAAAAAAAAAAATCTAGCAATTAAATTTCATGTGGCCACTTGTTTGACCAAATAGACACACTGTCTTCTAGCCAGCAGCGGCAGAGTAAACATGACAGAACAGCTTATATATACCGCTCCCTCAGACAGGATGCCACAAATGTCATTTTAAAATACCAGTAATCTTTACAAAAAAACAAGTTTCGCATTGACTCGAGACAGCACAGATGGGATTTCTCTTAACATCCCAGAAATCTAACTTGGTTACTTAATTTTATTTACGGGCGTCTCTGTTGGTAACTTCTAATGCTGACTTATATACAAAGAGAATCGACAGTAACCAGGATATTGTTTTTCTATGACATTTTTTCAAACCTGTGAGCTCAACGAATTAGGAGGAGGGTTGTAACTTCAGCCATGGATGAAGCTCAGGACTTCAATTAAAAATCAATGCAACTCTCACACTTTGGGGTATTTTCTTTTAAACATGTGCATAAGTAGCATTGGTGATGTATATTTTGAGATATGAATGTAGGCATACTTGGGGTCTAAAAGTGCCCACAGAGTAATCTAGTATTAAACAACACGTGAAGAGCCATACAAAATATCTTGACCCACAAGTCAAGCGGAACTGAAATGTACTTTATGCGTGACAATTGTCCTATTTTCACCATTTTCTTCTCTCTTTGTAATCACATTATAAAGTCCATGTAGTGTTCATGACAGGACTCAGTAAAGTGTCCTCACTGCTCTTTGGCAAAGTTGTCGGGTGTAACTGAGCCACACTAAGTTCAGATAGATAAAGTGGTAGAAATTAAAGTGAACACAGTTTTAAGTTTTGTGCAACAGCGAGTTGAAATGTAAAAAAAAAAAAAAGCGGCAATTTACAACTTCCTGTAGCAACCTCAGTTATTTAAACATTGAATATCTCAAGCAGTCGATGTGTTCATTAAAGTGTTCTCTTATTAAATTACTTTATTTGTTGGTGCTTCACCTTAAAATATCCTAGCCAAAAAGTCTAAACTAAAACATCTAAACAAAGTATGAAGACTCGTGTTGAAAGTCGAGAGGCGCGACTACGTCTGAAAACAGGAAACAAAGGGCACGATAAGATGGACGACTGGCCTTAAACTTAAAACACAAACACTTAAATTCACAACCATTCCTTTGTACATATCTACAAATAATCAGCCCCAAAAGCAGCAAACACTCAAGCGGGACAGAGAGTTAAGAGTTTATAGACGGTATGGGGAATGTTAGATAACGATAGAGGGAGACAAACACCCCCCCGCCAGCCGCCTGCCCGGTAAGCCCTACCGTGACACCTAGAGGCCGACGACGGCTCCTACAAAAACCTTTCCGTGTTTCAAGCCAAAACAAGCGTGTCACTTACTCTCGACTGCTTCTTTTCCGGTTATATTCACGCCGAAGCTCGACCGCGGTGGTTGTTCTCTTCAATCCCGCAGTGACCGTCCGTACGTGTTGGGCCGACGCGCTTATTATTTTCTCCCGCTTTGGAAGAGTGGGCCCGACACAAAATGGCGGTCTTTAAGAGCCTTACGCGGCTGCGCAAACACACGGAGCAGCGGGGGGCAGGGGGCGTGGTCGAGCTTTTGGTTTCAGGCGCCAGATTTGAATTCAGGCGTAGGCGTGGCATCCTTTAACACCCACTAACAACTGTGATCGATACCATTGAGGGATTTGACGAGGTTAAGTACAAGAAATAGATTTGAGTTTCAGCTAGGCCTTCATCCTGACAACTTCAAGGCACTTTTAATTCGATGCTCTGAGAAACACTTGGTGTTAAAGTAAAACATCAAGTCAATCACAAGAGGGCAGTGTGAGTGTTGGATATGTGGGGTAAGCCTCTCAACAGTAAATCGTGATTCAAGGCTACGTCACCTTCAATAATTTATTATTCTTCCACAGCTGGGATGAAGGGTGACGTGTTAATATGAAAACAACAATATTTCCTGGTGACATGGAGTTACAGACCAGCAATTAAAAGACAGCTCATAGGCTACTGCCCAGTATATGATAATAGGCCTGATAAACCTACTGAAATAGAAAATGAGCCTGTGTTCACTTTCTGTGCATTTTCCCTGCTTTGATTAGGTTTTATTAAATTTGTATTATACAAACATTTCTGAATAAAACTAAAAAAGACTAAAAAAGAAGATAACTCAGGTAGTTCAGGGGTTTAAGAGCTCTGGATGTAAACACTGTTCCCCCTGCAGGTTTCTTTGGTGAATTTTCATTATCTGAAAATATAAATATGGCCTAAATATAATTGGATTTCTAGCCTATGTATTTTATTAGCTAAAAAAAAAACTAAAATCACAGAATCTGATCACTATAAGCAAGATTAAATTAACAATTAAGACATATTCAGGCTTTAAAAGATACAGCGTAAAAACAAGGGAAAACTCTAGAAAATAGCTTTTCTGTAAATAGATTCTGCAGATTTATGACATATGCACCTTTATACTTTTCAGGCATTACATAAAACACATTTCATGGGGTCTAAAATAGACAAGTAATTTTTGTGTTGTGTTCAAAGTTAACCTCACAGAAATTAAACATGTGGACATCTGTACTCTAAATATACTTTGGAGAAAAAGGAAATATGATACCATAGAGAACTTCAGGATTGATCAATCTAACTTCAGAAGAAGTAATATTATATTCTTTATTCATTCTTGGAGTACACATTTTGATTAACATACTTTGAACGGGCAACATAGTTCCCATAAAACGTGCTACACATGCCCCCAGTAAAGTTTGTTTTATAGCCAGGAAAAGACAAAAGACAAATTCTGAGGAAGTCTTTCAGCTCATCAACAAGAACTGCTAACAACCCTCTCTGTTGTTGTTCGGGACAGTTTCATCTCAAATATTGATGCTACATCTTGCTTTGAAATTCATTAACCTTTGAATTTCTTCACTTTTTTAGTGATAGAAGAATTTACCAAGGTCAATCTGTCAATTAGAGGATTTGAGAGCATATTTTCCGCATATAAAATAAATTATTAATTTGTTATATAACCTAGAGAACATTTTGTTCATTTCAGCTATAGTCATTGCTGTATGTTCAAATGTATATGCATGTCACAGGCGATGATGCATGGATCAAATACATATCAGTGTGGTCACTTTATTCCTCTCTCTCCTTGGATCTTCTCATTTTATCTCCACCTTTTTCTCATGGTTTTCTTCTCAGAGGGGAGGGGGCAGAGAAAGGCGAGGTTCTCTTGTCACATCTGTCAGTCAGCCGGCCTGTGCCCCGCCCACCTCTGAGGAGGCATTACATACTGCTGCTGCTCCTGCTCTTAGCAACCGTGCCTCAGCAACAGAGCCACGGCAACAGAGCTCCACGGCAACAGCGTGCCGTGTCTCCCCAATGGAGCTGCCGTTGGGCGGACCAGCGCTTAGGCACTACACCCAAAGCAGACCAAGACCTCACCGACAAAAACTGAACTACCGCCCCAGCAGACCGCAGGTACTGTGAAGGAAGAGAGAAGGTTTTTCAAAAAATGGAGTGTGAGTGAAAGGTGGTGTGTGTGAGGAGAGAAAATGGGAGGAGATGAAAAAAGGGACAGAGGGGAGAGGCAGGGGGAAGGGAAGGACTGAGGAGGGGTGCTGTGAAAGATGCCTGGTCCCTGTTTGAATGAGGCAGTCCCTTTCTGCCGGTCACTGGCTCTTTGAAGTAGCCTAACTAGAAATCTGTTTGTGAATGTGTTATCTGCCCAACAGAAAAAAAGATGTTGGCTTTCTTCCTTCACAGGTTGAATTTCATTGTAGTGTGTGTGTGTGTGTGTGTGCGTGTGTGTGTGCGTGTGTGTGTGTGTGTGTGTGATCGTCTCCTTTTTGCACTGAGCTGATCGTGTTGTCACTGAGCTATAAGGCTGTAGACACAGTCACTCCCTTGGTGCCAATGGCAAGGGAGACAAAATTCAGGCGATTCCCCTGACAGGATATCATTTATAACAAAGACTCTTGCTGAATTTGCATTCTGCAGTCAATCCCCTGTCTTTTAATGCTACTTGTGGTGACAGATGTTAATATGATCAGGATGATGCAGCACTGAATCGCTGCAATTTCAATATCACATTACCTACATTGGCAAAATGAGTTATCCTGCTTTCATTCGGCATGCAAAATCCAGTGACGCCCCCCCATTTTACGTTACTGGGCAACTGACTCCCGAGAGGCTGGTTTGTAGCATGGCTGGAAGAGAGATTCAAACCAAAATACACCTATAGAGGCAGGAGGAATACTGGTACCAGAGTGTGTGGGTTTTTCCGAGGTTAGGGTTATGTAATGTTAAGTTTTGTACGATGGAAGTTGCTTTTCAAAATCCGTTCTTTAATCTTTGGTGTAAAATAAATCTCTGTTTCTTTCTGTTTATGTTATTTAGGAGACTATAATAGAGAGTGAAAATGAAGTCCTTGAGCACATGGGAAGGGTGGATGAAGGTGTCGAGGAGTTCTTTACTAAGAGAGTACTTCCTACTGATACACTGTGAGTACCAGCAGCTGCCTCTTACACTTCCATATAGGTCTAGTGCCTAATAAATGTATTCAAGGATGTTAATTGATTTGATATATGATCCTTCTTAAGGAAAACACAAGATGAGGAAACTATCACAGTGCATGAGGTGGCTCCTGCAAGCTCTGTACCTTGTCCACCCCAGACCAAAACACTCAGGAGGAAGCTTGGCGATTTTTTTACGCTCAAAAAGAGACGAGGTCTGAAGTCAGAAACGAGCCATGACGGGCGTCCCAAAAAGACCTCCATCACTGATCTCATCCGCCCGCTCCGGGAGGCCGCTAGAGCCGAGAAAGACAAAGACAAAGAAAGAGTCAAGGAGCACGACAAGGAGAATGAAAAGGAGAAAGCGAAAGAGAATCCAAGCGCTGGAGAGTCAGCTGTTCAGGAGACACCTGTTTCTGGTGCCCCAACGCTGAGAGGTGAAGGGGTGCCTCCCCGTCGAGCTCTCAGAGAGGGGAAGTCCCAGTCTCTCATTCTGCTGTCTGGATCAGCAGCAGCAGGGACTCCTTATGGCAGAAATACTGGAAAGGTGAATACCAGTAGAGTTGAAGTTTAGTTACATAGTAACATAAGTTGAGAAAGAACTCACCCCTCTGCTGTTGCTTCTTTCAGAAACAGTTGGAGGGCCAACATAGCTTTGAACAGAAACTCCATCTCATGCTTCAACGTATTGGAGTTTCCAAAGTCCCGCCAGGAGAGACACAGGTATGTGCTTGTTTATTTCTGTTTGTTTATGTGTATACTGTAGGCGTCTTTAAAGTTGTTTAAATACTGTACCTCTTTTGTTTTTGTAGAATCAGGAGGGAGAGATGAAAAAAGCAGAATCCGAGGGTATGTCCTTTTATTTATTTAATACTTAGTATGATTAAACTCTTCCCTGCTCCTTCAATAGAGCTCCAGTAATCTTTGAAGTTGATGGATTTGTATCAAAGGGAGTGGCTTTTTGACTTGGATAAGTTCTCTAATAAAGGTTTAACATCTCTTTTTGCTGATTAAGCTGTTCTCCATCCATTATAGAGCTTAAGATGTGAATTAATTCCTAAAATGTAAATTATGTTTGTGCATCAGGAACTATCATTGACAGTAAGCCGGAGCCACCACCTACGTTCACAAAACCTCGAACCATGTCTGCATCGTCAGGTAAACACAAAACAAAATCACGGATTTACTTCTTTTGCGTATATGATAACAATAAATATCTACACATTAATTTTCTTCTTTAGATACGAGGCATCAAATGCGTCCAAGTGTGTCAGCACATGAGTCAGCTGGGAAACCCGCTTTGCTCCCAAAGCCAGTTATCAAACCAGGTCCCCCACCCTCAACATCTGGACGCAACACACCTGAGAACGAGCTCGCCCAAATACAGGAGGCAGAGACAAATACACCCACTAAACTGAGTCCGGCTACATCTACCCCTGCTACCCCTGATATCAATGCTATCACCACCACCACCACCACACCTACTGTACCGACAATCTCAAACGCAGTCCCCAACTCAACCGATTCTATGATTTCTTCTTCAAGTAGTGTAGCGTCCTCAGACACATACAAATGCACCGACTCTGTTAACCCTCCTGCAGAAGCTACAACACCCACTAATGTAACAGAGCTTGACAGCAAACAGCTTATCCCTGAATCTGAGGCTAACACCCCTGAAAAACCCACTTCTACCAGCACGACTACACCCACAGAGCCTCCCACTACTGTCTCAATTACTTCCATTTCCTCTGAGCCCATTAGTCCAAGACTCTCCATCACTTCCAGCTCAACGACCAGAACTACACCTTCCATATCCACCTTGGAAACTGTGTCTGCTCCCAGCAACAAAATTCAAGTTTCCATAGCATCAACAAATCTGCAAACTGAATCAAGCATTTGCTCTGCTGATGCTACACCTGGTGTTGGTGTTGATGCAGCTGTTTCTGTCAACAACACTGCTTCGTCACCCTCCACCTGCACATCAGATTCACAATCAGTCTTTTCTACTAACAACAATCTAATTACTGAAGCTCGTGGTGATACCACTTCAGCCACCTCAGCTAGCTGTGTAACGGTAGCTTCACCAGTCACTAAAACATCTCCGCCTCCTGACCCAATTGATGCCATCGCATCTCCATTTTCACCTGACACCCCCATTTCCTCTTCCTCCACCCTGATCCCTTCTGACCTTTCACTCACCACCACAACCACCACCACTGCAAGCCCAACATCCACCGACTGCATTGACTCTACTTCTACCATTCCTCATCCAACCACATCTAGCCCTGCTGATATGTCTATTCCCTCCACGTCATCCAGTGAAACAAACCCCACAGACACCACCACCACCACAACCAGTACTGTAAAACGTTCAGATTCCACTTCCACCACCAGTTCAGCAAATGCTGCTGCTATTAGTTCTCCACCTACGACTGACTCAGACCAACCTTACACCATCAGTGTAAGCACTACCCTCACGCCAACTATCTCTGACCTCTCCACGACTGATAACTCAAGTGCTGCTTTTCACCATCTGACCACTCCAGCTCCTTCTAAAGAAAGTCCAGGCCCAGATACAGATTTACAGAAATCTCCTGAAGACAGAGCCAGTGTAGAGCCTGCAGAGAAGGACTCAGGTACGTTATAAGTTTTGTATTTTATGCATTTATTTATTTTCCTTAATAGGTGTAAATTGAAGGGTGTGTTTTTTTTTTATTTCCAATTGCAGATGAGGTGCTTAAGACGGTACAAAAGAGCAATGGAACTGAGATGGATGAGAGCGAGACAGTTGATGATGCAGAGGAAAGCAAGGAGGAAAATGAAGAAGTGCAGGAACAAGCTGCGAAACCTGAGGAGGACACAATACAAACAGAAGTAGTAATGGCTAAGCCTGCACCAGGAAAAGATGTTGATGAGGTGCTGATAGAAGGTGAAAAACAAGAAGAAACCAAGTCTGAGGCTGAGAAGTAATTCAAAAACCATGATGTTGCTAAAAACGGGACCAACTACTGTGACGGGCAGGACAGACCACAGTAAAGGGAAAATGAGTGGAAAAGATCCATGGCACTTCCTACAGGGACCACCACATTACAGCAGCACACCACAAAGGGTGGGCCACTGGACCAAAGAACTGAGATCCCTTTGGTGTTATGTAATCAACAAATCCAGCAGTGTCTTTGTCCTTTTTTAACCTATGTTTGAATTTTTGCATTGCACGTATGATTATGTACCATATGACAACTACACCATGTTTACAATAGATGGATAAGAGACATAGTTATGAATATTAAATGGATTATTGAATTGACTTTGTCATTCCCTCTGTTTTTTTCCCCCATGAATGCTTTGTACTTGTGGTTTCCAATCAAATAATGGCAAGAAAATCGAAACACTTTCTTGCTTTTCTGGAGCTCATGGTTTTCTAATTGTTACGTGGGTACCTTAATTGTTGGTTGAGTAAACTTTCATTTTAAAATAGTTACCTTGATTTCAAAGAAAAAAAACGTCTTTGATATATTTTCAAGCCAAAATATTAAACACAAAGTTAATTCTAATACATTTCCTCATAAAGCCATGTCTTCACAGGGAAACAATCCAATATGATGATATCAGGGTGGACTGGAATTATACCAGTTATGAAGCTGCAAACAACAGTGCGATATAATGTTAAAAGTCACCCCATTAACTCCATGGAAAGCGATTGATGAAATTTTAACCACTGGTGTGAATCACCCAGACCAGCAGGGGTCGCTGGCGGGAGTATAGCCCAAAAAGCCACACTTCACCCGGAAGAGAAGGACCGTGGGGAAACCTATGGTGAAAACCACGGTAGAGAGTTTTTTGTGTACGGTCCACACAACTACTCATAATTTATTTTGCTAATTAGATCTTCCAGCGAGTTAAGAAACAGTTCCTACTGAGGTATTTGTGCAGGAGGATTCAGCATCGTCGTGCTCACGGTAGAGATGTCGGTCGCGCCTCCAAATCGCTCCAATGCAGGCTGGCCGCGCAGCGGTGCCGTTCAGTTTGGGAACAAATACATCACCGGGCCTGCTAAACCGCTCACACTGGAGAGGACCATCAACCTGTGAGTTTATATGAACAATACATTATGGAGAAAAAAAAACACACATTCAGCAGATATTAGTAATGTACCTGTATGTAAACGTGAAGCAACGATACAATAAAAGCTGAGGTCGCTGTTTCTATTCGATGCTGCATTCATAACTTTGTGTGTGTGTGTGTGTGTGTGTGTGTGTGTGTGTGTGTGTGTGTGTGTGTGTGTGTGTGTGTGTGTGTGTGTGTGTGTGTGTGTGTGTGTGTGTGTGTGTGTGTGTGTGTGTGTGTGTGTGTGTGTGTGTGTGTGTGTGTGTGTGTGTGTGTGTGTGTCATCAGACCCCATAGTTTGGTGTTTTGGGGCGCCAACAAACAAAACTTTGATTATAAATATAGAAAACGATAGTCAATAAGTCAAATAGTTGATCGCCACGAAACAGATTCGAATAGCATTGATAATTTAATTTGATCAAGGGTTGACATATTCAAGTTTTTCCACTTTTAATGTTAAGTCTAGAAAAGTATTAAAAATTGGGTTTATTTTTTCTGTTTTAATGGAATTGTATTGAACAAGAAAGACCAGCAGCTTAGCTGTTCTGCCCCTAAGAGAGCAAACCTTAAAAAATGAAATAAAAATCAAGGATGCCTTCAGAGAACCTGACTTCCTGGAGAGCGCTGAGTCAACATATACATAATAAAACTTTCTTTTGCACTCAATTTATCTCAAAAGTAACCGTAATAAAAGATAACAAAGATGTACAGAATTCTTAAATGGGAAGTTCCAGATTGAATTCTTATTTTTGAAGTAGCTTTTTATTATTTTAACTTGATACTAGACCTTACATAATCATACAGTGCTTAAATAGATAAATAGATGTACTTTATTTATCATAAACTGGGGAATTGTGGTCTTACAGCAGCATGTTATCAAAGCAAATAAAATAACACAAGAATAAATACAAAATAAATATGCCCTATGAAAATAACTAAAATATGGGAAATACCATATATACATCCATAATTTAAATGAACATTACATAAAAATTCACAATTAGTCTGGCATGAATAACTAAATGTAAACATACTTAAATATATGATATATTATGTGATGTTTTTTAAAGATTTTGTTCCAGTGTTGTTATGAGCTGTTCTGTTGGTTTTCAACATCTCTTGTAATTTATGTTTTAATGCTTTTGGTGCAAAGCAAATTTCCCTTGGGCCAGTAAAGGTTTCATTCTTTTTCTTTTTATAGCACAAGGATGTGAAACACACTTTGACAATCTCTGGTCATTGTTATTGACCTATCATGTGTGTGTTTTTACTTCAGATACCCTCTTACCAACTACACATTCGGCACTAAGGAGCCTCTTTATGAGAAGGACAGCTCAGTGGCTGCCCGTTTCCAGCGGATGCGGGAAGAATTTGATAAAATGGGAATGCGCAGGACAGTGGAAGGTGTTCTAATTGTCCATGAACACAGGCTGCCTCATGTTTTACTTCTGCAGCTGGGAACAACTTTCTTCAAACTGTGAGTAGAATAAACGTCCATTACCTCTTTTGCATGAAGCAGGAGAATTGTTTTGGCTGAACAGTTTTTTGTTGTTGCTTCCTTCATGCAGGCCTGGTGGCGAGTTGAGTCCTGGAGAAGATGAGGTGGAGGGTCTGAAACGCCTGATGACTGAGGTAATACCTCTGTCACAGCGCAGTACACGCCTCTTGTTAGTATGCTCCTAGATGAGTTTACATTTGTTAACTTTTGTTTGAATGTTAGATCCTTGGTCGACAAGACGGTGTGAAGCAGGACTGGGTGATCGATGACTGTATTGGCAACTGGTGGCGCCCCAACTTTGAGCCTCCACAGGTTGGTAGATCATTTGTAACATTGTCATGTTTCATAAAAAATATTAAATGGGGTTAGCAGAAGGGATTCACATCGGCTTAACATCGGTCCTGTTGACAAAAAAGGGTCATGCCCTGATGTCATTAGCCAATGTGTAGCAGTTGTTTTTCATAAATGTACTGCTTGAAAAATAGTATACTTAACTGCTGATTCAAATAATTTTTTTTTTTGATTGAGTTGGACAAACTATTTGTTCTCATGGTCAGAAAATGTAGGCAGTGTTGGAGTCTAATACTGTTTCTGGGAAAGATCAGGGCCATGCAGTTTGTAAGAAATGTTCCTGTCACATTTCAGAAGAGGCACTACTAGGAGCTCTTTAGACACATCCTATCACATAGCTCATGCAAAAATGAGCATGAAGAATTACCAAGAAGTAATGAAAATAAACCCAGAATCTGCTTATTTTAAACATTTTGTATCGACATTGGCCCTGATTTTTACAATCTTTGCATCTTTAGTTAGCAGCCATTGGTCAACCACTGTTCAAGTGTCTTGGGTTAAAAGCATGAACTAGATTTAGAGATACAAAATGTGTTCTGGTTCTTGTCGCACTGCCTTTCACTGTTATTTCTTATTGAACAATATTTCAGAGGTAAACTCTCAAAAGACAATAGAGAAACCTTGATGTTTAAAGGGGCAATATGGCTAGCTATGAAATGACTCCGGGCGTGTTAATGCATGTATATAGTATACTCATTGCAAATCAATGAAAAATGCTTTTTGTTGACTAGAACTTATTGCACACAGTTTCCTTTTTGTACTCCATAGAGCCAGGATGAAATTTGAAAATATCTGTATCCAAGCACTCCTGTACATACAGAAGTAGTTCATGATAACAGACTGATCTGAAGTTGTTTTTGTCTTGCAGTATCCCTATATTCCAGCTCACATCACCAAACCAAAGGAGCATAAAAAGCTTTTCTTGGTTCAGTTGCAGGAAAAAGGTTAGTCTACCACAATGTAACTCGTCGAATTGATTCAAATCAAGTGAAATTATCTGTCGGAGAAACAGGCAGAAATGTTAAAATGAGACGAGAGGTGGTATCATTAATTCTTGTTTCGAAATCTGTTTCCTCAGCGCTGTTTGCTGTCCCCAAAAACTATAAACTGGTGGCAGCACCATTGTTTGAACTGTACGACAACGCGCCTGGATATGGACCAATCATTTCCAGTCTACCACAGTTGTTGAGCAGGTATTGTTCATGTCTTTTTTAATATGTTTGACATATGTGTGGAAAGCCTTCATTCAGTTGAAACATTCATTTTCTTTTGTTCATTGTTATTGTGTATAAATGTGAAAAACATCCAATCTGGAATCATACTGTCTGAATGACCTCCCTCCAAGAGCAGTTTTTTTTAACCCAACCAATTCATGTATTTTTCAATGATCACCCTCCAAATTCACTAACTGAAACTGGGCCACACTCATCTATACAAAGAAGCTGGCAAAAGAAGACATGCTCACACAGTATGTGATTGAAGGCAGCAATTTCAGGTTGGAGTCTGCTTTTACTTAAATGTGCCAAAAGGTAAATTTAAGTAAAAGCTTAAGTAAGCAAAGTGTTTATTGCAAAGAAATAGATGAATATTGCCAGAGAATGACATCCTGTTTCCCTCAGAGCAGTGAAGAAAAACCTTATGAACTATGATGAATAAACTGGAGTTTTTCATGTAAACAAGTCAAATCTATAATTAACATCACTACATGAGATCAAAGAAAGCTGTTAAATGGATCTTCTTCTTCTTTTATCAAAGTTTTTGCAATTTTAAATACAGTTTCTTTTGTATTTTGCCCCTGCAAGAAGTCTTCTTACCTACCTCTGTGGGCACACTGCTATGTCTGGAGTAGTGTCAAGTCATCAGCAAAACTTTCACATGACGAAGAACAAGGATAATCAAAGCAGGGTCTCATTGATTCAAAAATAATCCATAGCACATATTAAGGAGAATGAATAAAATACAAAAAGGCTAATGTATTACTGTGAGAACTTTGATCTCATAAACAAACACTGACCCTTTACTCTTGGTTGTCATTTCCTTTTTTAGGTTCAACTTCATTTACAACTAACGTGTGTGATCAGAAGACCATCCGGCTGTCTCTGTGAGTGCAGCTCTGTCTGAGTGCAGATGAAAGACAATGTGATGGAAAAATATACGTCTCATCTATAGCTCACTTTTCACGAAAAGGACATTGTCATGTTTCACAGGGGGTGTTTATACTGTTAGAAGAAAATGTCATGTATCTGTCTTTTTTTTATCTTGGAAAAAAACCTGCTTGTTTTGTAGTCTACAGGTCTGTAATTCAGTGTGGATTAGTATCAGATTTTACGTCCTCTCAGTTGAGGCCGATGTTTGATTAAACAAATGACATCATTGACTTTCCTGTTGTTTTAACCTGTAACGATGCTGTGTTTTCTTTTATTTTTAATAAAGCAGTCCTTTGGGTATGTTTTTATAAAGTGAACAGAGCAAATGAGCTGCTGAATGATATAAAAACGTTTAAGCGGGGTTCTTAAAGTTTCTTTTCTCTGTCAGTAAATTATAGACAGATATAGAAGCAATGTTCAAATGTCAAAGCTCAAATAGTTTTCTTAAAGTACTTAAAATGGCATTTGCTACCGAAGTATTTTGGATGACTCAACTGATAGCTCATTTACTGTATTAGAAATGGCAATTATGTGGTCTTTTAAGCACAAGAGTCAGTTTTATATGTTGGTAAATCAGATGGTCACTGTGTGAATTTAGCTTGAAAAGTGTCCAAGCTTCCAGACTCTCCTCTGCTTATGAAACCTGAACAAACAATGGGCAACATTAAACTATAATGGAAATTGAAAACACATATTCATAGCCTTTCCCAAATAGATCATTGAGCTGTAAATATCTTTTTGTCAGCGTTTCTTATAAATGTTTGTTTTTAATTTTAACCCCGCTGAAATTACCGAACTCCAAATACTTGTAACAGATGTATGATGAGTTATAAGAAAAGGACATCATTCCTGCGTTTAACCAAGCTGGATTGCTTTTAAACTTGGGTAGATGTGAGGTAATTGTTCATTAGAAAGCCAACACAAGTATTACCTTCAAAAACACCTAAATGTAAAATTGTGTGACGCACACATGTCGAATTATGTCGAACAAAGCTGTTCAATATATTTTACGAATTGTGACGACTTCAATTTCTTGCATTTTGTCAGCGCTGCCCATAGACTGTAAGGTGCAGCCTGACAGTCTCAACTCAGGGCGTATCCAACATATTCACCATTACGTCATTTGCCTGCGACACTAGGGCCGTTTCATACTCGCATGTGGGTATTGCTCCTAAGTCTGGTAATAGTCTGTATATAAGTATTATTTACAGTCTGTTGGTGTTGCAAAGGCGGTTCATAAACTTTGTATTCATCCGTACCAGCTGTTCAATGGCTTCTAAACGACTCTCAGGCGAGGGCGGAAAAATGGAGAAGAAAAGGAAGAAGAAGAAGATTTGTTTTGAATCAGCTGAACTGAGTAAAGTTGTAGAAGAAGAGCAGGTGAAGAAGTTGGTGAAGGAGGCATGGAGCCAGAGGAGTCCTTACAGTCAGGGTTAGTGCAAAAGATCCGACAACAATAACATAAAAAGGTCCTTCAGATTAGTTTTGCTGTCAACTACAAGCAGCTAGTTACTGTAAAAGGTTAAAAAAAAGCAGATACCAGTTTAACACCACATCACAAAATGTGTTTCATTAATGTGTTGTGAATTTCCTCAAATGAGTAACTTAAATTATCTATAATGGTTATATGTATTTATCTAGCTGGCTCAGCCTATATTGATGTATTTATCAGTTCTTCATATTGCATTAATATTCAGGAGGACCTAGTGATTACAAATATTTTGTAACCCTATCATTTCTTTTTGTGTATTAAAAAAAAAAAAGTATAATCACAATTGTTTGGCCAATGTTACACATCAGTTATCAACAGCAGCCTCGCAATTTCCCTTCGAGTCAGACTGAGACATAATCTTGTTTGTTTCTGTTGCACAGGAGATCTGGAGCTGGACTGTCAGCCTTTTCCTCACTGCATCATCAGAAACTTCCTTAGCAGCGAGACCTTTGTAGAGAACCTGCAGAAAGAACTACTGGGGCTGAATTTCCATGAGAAATCAAACGACCTGTACAAATTTAAACAGGTGTGTCGCAATCATTTATCTTATAACTGATGTTTCTTTTTCCTTTTGGTTTATGTTGTGTTATTGTTTAAACTTGTTTTGCTCTTTCTATAAAGTCGGACGACTTGAAGAAAAGGACGGAGCCACATATCGCAGGACTGAGGTAAAGCTAAGGCCTGGGTTTGCCTTGTTTTTACATAATGTATCTCAGTGTGAGCATTTTTGTGTTGTGATTGTAGGTGCAGTGAAATATGATGTGTTGTGATGATATATTTGAATAGTTCTCATAATGTGAGCTTCAAGGAGAAACAAACATGCATTATTATAAAAGAGCTAATTCTCTCCAATGAGAAATCCCCCAAAAAGTTGCTTAGTTGTATATCTTTCATGACCGGATGAGCAGCTTCACTTTGACACCTCGTGGCCTATTTGGCATCTCATCCTGTGTGCTCTATTTTTTACTAAAGTAATCCAAACATTGTTTATTTTGTTTTTAAAAAGGTTGAGACATTATGTCTCTGATTTTACCAGAAAACAATTTGACAAAAATACAAGTGTCCAGTTGGTAGTGAGACATTTACACTAGGGGGCGCCAGAGATAACATTGGCCTCCTGATAATGGTACCTTCTAAATCTACTGCTGTTGATGATGAAAGCCGAAAGCATCGTCGTTTGGCAGGACAGGACTCTGCAGTAGAATTTACAGACAGTTATAAAATCAGTGTAAAAATTGGTGATTTCAAATAAATGCCAAGAAACAAAAATCTTATTGTAGAATGATCAAGCAGTAAGGGCGGTGCTTAAGTAAGCAGTAAGGGCTCCTTGTTCTAACCAAGTCCAACAAATATTAAGATCACAGCATAAAAATCAAGATCAGTATGATTTGGGTGTCTAGACTTAAGACTTAAACATCCCCCACACAGCAAAATAGCACACAAACCTCTCTATCATGAAATAATAATGAGCTTTTTAAAACAATGACGTCATGCAAGGTTTTGAGCAGAGAAATGTAATTTATTTAAAATGCTTGTTTGTGATTGTACAGTGTTGCACCCACTGAAGAGATAGAGTCCTGGAGAATAAATACCATGATTAGATACACAATAACGGCCTCCTCTTGTGTTCATCTATTATTTACGTCACAACAAAATGTCATGGCAGGTTTAAGCAGCCAAACAATCTCTGTGCTTTGTGAGGTTTACACAAGGTAAAGAGTTTCTGCACTATTGTCACTGTCAATACAAAACAGGATTGCACAAGAAAAGCTGTTCACATATTTCGGTGTCTGCAGGGCAGCGCTGTTTGGCCCTTTCCGCTCCTGGCTCGGGGGAGGTGTTGGGGGTTGAACTGGAGTCCACAGTGGATATCTCCTGTGCTAAATATGAACACACAGGTGAGCTCTATTTTCAAACCCTCCAGGAAGTACTGTTATATTTTTAGGTCTCTTCATACCAGTATTTGACAACATACCTCATTTAAGTTTTTTTCTTTTTATAAACATGACGTTCTCTTTTGTTTCTAGATATTCTTTTGTGTCATGATGATGAATTAGAGGGGAGGCGCGTTGCTTTCATTCTTTATCTTGTCCCTCCTTGGCAGAGCAGCGATGGAGGAACACTTGATCTTTACACAACAGACAGTGAGTATCCCCCTTTGTGTGTGTGTGTGTGTGTGTGTGTGTGTGTGTGTGTGTGTGTATTTCTGTGTTTTTTTTTGGTTTTTTTTACATCATTTGCCTCTGTAAAATCTTCATCTTTGTTGTCAGGTAATTTTCAACCAAAGAGCATCTTAAAGTCTCTGGTTCCATCTTTGAACACACTTGTCCTCTTTGAAGTGTCTCCAGTCTCTTTTCACCAGGTTAGAATACCCCCTCATTCTTTCAGCAGCTTAGAAACAAAAAAGCAGCTGGGATTCTAAACTGATGGCATTCATTTTTTTTTAGGTGTCAGAGGTTTTGACACAAGACAAGTGTCGTCTTTCCCTGAGCGGCTGGTTTCACGGACCTTCTTTGGAGCGTTCCCCTCGCCACATAGAGCCCCCTGTTCCAAGGAATCCCCACTTACCCAGAGATGTGAGTTTGGTGAAACATGCACAGGGATGTTTCCACCTTTTATTTGAAGTAAAAAAAAAAAAAGTCTAACTTTCGGAAACACACTGTGTTGAATACTTGTTGAGAGTTAGAAGAGACTGATATCACTGAAGAAGCAGAGGATTTTCTGGCACAACTTTACCAACTACCAAGGTGCATGGAGACTGAAAGGCTTAGATGAGTTCAAAAAGCTCCAGCAGTATGAAGACCAACTTTATTAACAAATTAGACTGACGTGTTTTCGGCTTGTGGCCTTCATCAGGGTCATCCTGATGAAGGCCACAACGCGTCGTTCTAATTTGTTAATAAGATTGATATCACTCTCATTTCTGTCTGATAAATATGAAGTACTGTATATGTTAACAGCTGGTTAGTCTAACTAAGCACAATGACAGGGGTATGGCTTGCCTTGCTGTGTCCAAAGGTATCAAAGTCTTATCTGATAGCACCGCTTAATCTTGGTTGTGAATAAATTGGATCTGGATTTTAATCTCTTCCAACACTGAAGTGTGTAAAGTCAAATATTATTCCAAATACACTTTACCATGGTTATCTGTTATTTAAACTTGTTGAAAAGGAGTATATTTTGTGACCTTTAAGTTTTACAGGAGGTTAACCATTGGACTCTGATAAGTGACCTTCTATTCTCATATTTAAAGGTGGACGCTGCCATTTTTTATTGCTAATAAATGGTATAATTTGAAAAAGACCATGCTTATGAAAGCCTTTGCAAACATTGTAACAAACTACCATGATACGATGTTTGCACAAATAACAACAAAGAAAGTAATGTAACTAACATTGGCTAGTCTGTTGGTTGGCAAACTGTCACTACTGTTGCTACTGTAAACTTAACATGACAGACCCAGAACACCAAGTCCAGGCAGCAGTACTAAGAACGTTTCTGCTGCTATATCGAACATCTCAACAAAACATATACAGCTCTGGAAAAAATCAAGAGACCACTGCAAAATTATCTGTTTCTCTGATTTTACTATTTGTAGGTATGTGTTTGAGTAAAATGAACAGTTTTGTTTTATTCTATCAACTACTGACAACATTTCTCCCAAATTCCAAATAAAAATATTGTCATTTAGAGCATTTATTTGCAGAAAATGCCAAATGGTCAAAATAACAAAAAAGATGCAGTGTTTTCAGACCTTAAATAATGCCAAGAAAACAAGTTCATATTCATTTATACACAACACAATAGTAATGTTTTAACTTTGGAAGAGTTCAGAAATCAATATTTGGTGGAATAACCCTGATTTTCAATCACAGCTTTCATGCGTATTGGCATGCTCTGCAGCAGTCTTTCACATTGCTGTTGGGTGACTTTATGCCCCTCCTGGCGCAAAAATTCAAGCAGCTCAGCTTTGTTTGATGGCTTGTGACCATCCATCTTCCTCTTGATCACATCCCAGAGGTTTTCAATGGGGTTCAGGTCTGGAGATTGGGCTGGCCATGACAGGGTCTTGATCTGGTGGTCCTTCATCCACACCTTGATTGACTTACCTGTGTGGCATGGAACATTGTCCTGCTGGAAAAAACAATCCTCAGAGTTGGGGAACATTGTCAGAGCAGAAGGAAGCAAGTTTTCTTTCAGGACAACCTTGTACGTGGCTTGATTCATGCGCCCTACGCAAAGACGAATCTGCCTGATTGCAGCCCTGCTGAAGCAATCCCAGACCGTCACCAATCCTCCACCAAATTTCACACTGGGTGCAATACACTGTAGGCCTCTCCAGGTCTCCGTCTAACCATTACACAACCAGGTGTTGGGCAAAGCTGACAATTGGACTCATCAGAGAAGATGACCTTACTCCAGTCCTCTATGGTCCAATCATTATGGTCTTTTGCCAAACCTCAGCCTGGCTCTTCTTTGCTTCTCATTGATGAAGGGCTTTTTTCTAGCTTTACACGACTTGAGCCTTGCCCCTAGGAGCCTGTTTCTAAATGTTCTCACCATGCACTCACCCAGCTGCCATTTGGCATTTTTTTTTGTAGGTCACTTGATGTCATCCTACTGTTTCTGAGTGACATTCAAATGAGTTGACGGTCATTCCGTTCAGTGGAGAGTCGTTTTCGCCCTCTGTCTGGTCTGTAGCTTTGTTGTCCCCAATGTCTGCTGCTTGACCTTGTTCTTATGAACAACCGTCTTGGAAATTTTAAGGATGGAAGCAAGCTGATGCTCACTGTAACCCTCTGCCAGTAAAACCATAATTGAACCCTTCTTTTCCTCACTCAAAACTTGTATTTTCAACTCTTTATATTTTCAAATAGTTATCTTTTTTACTCCAATTACTGTTGAGGTACTACTAGCACTGTTTTTGCCATCCAGCTGGTCCTATTGCAAGAGGATAGTGATGACCACAGCAGTGGTTTTTATACTTTTCCTCTTTTAATAAGATTTGGAATCAGGGGATCACCTAAACAGTACCTCATTAAGTAGAATGAGGTGTGTTTGTGTTGGAATTCAGCAGACACTGGAATGGAATGGCTTTCATACATGTAGAGATGCTGATTTCAGAAAAAATTGCAGTGGTCTCTTAATTTTTTCCAGAGCTGTATAGGTAAACTAAAAAACTAAAAAAAAAAACATTTCTGCAAGCAAAAATTATGTGACCTCCTCCACAACACTTTGTTTCTTTTTCATGTATAAAAGTAAAAACTGAATTTTCTTTGGCACACACAGAATTGACAGCTTGGGGACCTCATTGTTGATGGACAGATGCATGCCTTACTTAGATCTTCTATTTCAACTCTGCAAAACATGAACAGGTTTATTTCCCAACAGGCCAAACTATTCCTTTCATAATCTGCTTTACAGGAAACCCTGCTGTTGGAGTGGATCAATCCAGTGTATCTGGACATAGCCTACCAAGAGCAGGTTCAGGGGGAGTTTGAGGACAGCTCTGAAATCCAGCTGAAAGATTTTCTCAAGGTAACTTGTCCAACGAATGTTCTGCCTGCCACATGTCCGCTCATTTCCTGTTTTCTGATGATGTGTCTGTCATACAGGAGGAGAAGTTCAGGGAGGTGAGTGAGGTACTGAGACTCAATCAGATACAGTGGACAAAGAGAGGTCCGCCCAATAAGAGGTAAGGCATGTTTCATAGATCATTTTAACAGATTATATTTTATGTGGTTTTTGTTTTGTGTGGTACTAATTTACATATATTTATGTGCATTTAGATGCTATGAAGTGGCTTCTCTGGATACCTTGCCACAGTGTGTGAGTGCCTGCTGGGAGCTGCTTCATTCAGAGGCTTTCTTCCTGCTTCTCTCCAACTTCACCGGCCTTCAACTACACTACCTGTGTCCTGCTGATGATGATGATGATGATGATGACGATGAGGATGAAAAAGAAGGCAACCAAGACAAGGAGGAGAAAGAGGATGTTAAGGATGTACAAGCAACAGGGTCTTTGACTGAAACGTCAGAAACCACAAATGAAAAGAAAGGTATGTGTCAGAATGAGATGATCTCCTTAGGCACACGTTTGTGTGTGTGTTTGCGTATAAGTATTGACCTGTGATTGTTCTTTAGAACTGAGCACACCTGTATGTAGTGCTGAGCTGCGTCGATGGTCTCATGGCAGCTACACTCTGTTGCACGATGGAGAGGCAGCACGGGCAGAGTACGCTCTAGACCTTATTTTGCCTTTTGGATGTGCTGGTGAGTCACACACACACACACACACACACACACACACACACTAAACAATATCTATCATTGTTTTGACTGATAAAAAACTTTTATCTTTTGTAGACTGGCAGTCAGAGTATGGGGGCTTCACGTGCTATGTTGCTAATGAGGAGGATGAAGAGGTGAATATTGATCATAGTATATACTGTAGTGTAACTGTGCATGCTTGGTCAAACCTTCAATTGGTTATTATCATCATTGCTTTGGTTTCTTCCTCACAGCTTCTGACAGTGTATCCAGAGGATAACTGCCTCGCCCTTGTCTACAGAGACAAAGAAACTCTCAAATTTGTCAAACATGTCAACCAGAAAAGCTCCAGTGATTCTACCTGCAGAGCATTTTATGACTACTCTTTTGTGTACTATGAATAAATACATTTATCTATCCTCTAGGTTTCTTGACATATTTGTTACACACTATGGACACACAACACACACACTGCCATGTGAACAGAAAAATAGAAGATGAAGACAATAATCTTATTTTATAGCACCTATTTTAACATTTTTTACAAGGTGATTGTACTGTTTAAAATGAATTACAACAAATAAAGATAAGGATCCGCAGTTACTCTTGGAAATTACACCCAAAAACGTTGACTTCCGGAAAGTGTTCATAGATATTTTTCAAGTAAACCTTTTAACTTAAAAAATGTTTGAGCTTTTTCCACTATAATTGAATCCCCTCTTCTGGTGCCTTGTTCATTTTGCCACCCTAGCTTTTGCAGTTGTCACCAGCCTTAACTGTGAGTTAAACTCTGTCTCAAAGAGTCTCCTCTTAGACATTAGACAGGAGCCCTCCTATAGTAAGTCAACACAATCGCTGTGAAAAGTATTTGAGCTCCTTGCCTTGGATTGACATAAAAAAACGTTGTATCTGTTCTTAACTTGGACTGCCAAAAATATTGTCAGAAAACCATCCCATGGGATGTCTTTCTTTCTCTCTTCCAATCATTGTCAGTCCAGCTACTAATGACAACACTACACATGGTACAGATTGTTTCACTTAAATAAGATAGTGTGAAGCGTGAAATAACAGATCATTGAGTTTGAGCTGAAAACAAGTGCTAAAACTTGAGTATCTGAATTTATTTATTTATTTAACTGAATACCACAGAATAGGGTAAAGCAGTTACCCAGGGCCAAAAAAACAACCTGTTTTGTTTGAAACGAAGTCCAACACTGTAAATAACTAAATAAATAAAGGTATGCAAGGGGAATAAACTAAAAATCCTCTTCTCACTGACAAGTGGTAAGTAGAAGCTAATATTTTTAACCATTGCGAGATTAATTACTTTCAAGAATAATATATCGCTCTCATTTGACTATAAAGACCTAATATTTACGAGTACCCTTTGTCCTGTTTATAATAAATGTGATATACCATGTCAATGTATTTGCTTTTCAATTGGTTTTTTGGGAGCTTGATTACAGCTATTAACACGAATAGATACGATTCAAATGACCCCTGTAGGAATATAATACACCGTGCTCCTATGCCTATCACAGAGAAGTGCAGGAACATTGATATGATCAAATTCATCAATCAGAAAATGTGAGTGTTCAGAGTAGCTATCAAACATTGCCCGATATATCCCCGCTGATTTGTCTCTCGAACAATTCAATTTCCTTCATGTTTATTTTATTATTATTTCGACTGTCATCAGTTTTTATATTTACAGTCTATGGTTTTTCCCTCACATTAATGATTATGTTCCATTTAAAGAAATAACAACAGAAAAATGTTAACATTAAAGATCTCAGTGTGAAATATTTTGCCCTACATACATATGATAAGAAAAAAAAAGCTTCCTTCCTGTCATGATTTTCGCCCCAGGCGACATGTTGATTTCCACCAATCAGAGCGCTCTTTGGTTTATGCTCAGCCAATGGGAGGTCGGGAAAATTATACCAGTGGGTGTGATCCCTGAGGAGGAAGCGTCCCCGAACAATATAACAAAGTTTGAAGGTAAGTTTGTACAGAGTTTAAATATGTGTTACTTTAAATGGAAAGTAAATATTTTAAACCACGTACGTTAAATGTCGTGTATCTCGCTCTTCACCAACAAAACACAGCGGTTTGCTATCTCTTTCTTTGGCCGAAGTTTCACGTCGGCTGTAGGTGATATTTTGTCTACACGAAGCGTACCCTAACAACCGCTCGTGTCTGATTATCATGTTGATCCTCTTGTCTTTTAATATGATATTTACATTACAGAAGTGTACTGTTGTTGTGTTTCCATGAAATCAAACTTTTTGAGCTGCTATGAAAAAAGCCCTTCTCGATACACCTCGTTGTTGGACGTTAACTAGCTAACTTCACGTGTTACAGCACAGAAAATCACCTGTAACTGTACGTCCGGGTCGCATAGCAACCACAATTCGTGCCGGGTTTAGTGTTTACATGTCGTGATGGGGCATATAACACTTTGGCTTTGAAAATGTAAAACAGGACCTGGTTTTATTTGTCTCACGGATGTTACTGAAATACATTTTCGATATAGGCCTGTGTAGAAAGTGTGACAACATACTACTGTACATTGATAGTCCACAAAACCTGTAGTATGACAAAACATCATCCTTAAATAGGCTCAAGTGTTTAATTTGTAGCCACTGCTCTGTGTCTGGTGTCCATACTGGCTGTAAAGAAATCCTGATGGGGGAATACCTTAATTTTACACAGTCTCAATGCAAAACATTTTGCTTAAGTTCAAGAAAAGCCAATATTTGATTCAGCATTTTGAGTAGAACAGTGTTTCCTTCAGGATAGGCTAACTGTGTTCTGTTTCTTTCTGTACACCAGCCCTTTAAAGTAATGCCAGTGATTAGATCCAAGAAGGATATTTCAAACCAAAGCTATTAGCTATGGCAGCAAATAAGTGCAAATCATTGAATTGTTTCCTAATTCTTTATGCCCCGCTTAATCTTGGTGACAATGAATGTAAGTTCTACAGTCCAATCAATTGAATACCGGTTTTTCAATTTCTTTAAGTAACAAATGTCTTTTGAGGACTTTCAGCCAATTGTACTGTACAGACTGTAATGTTGCTGCATGGTCCCTAAAAACTCTTATCCTGGTCATTCAGGGGTGTTCATCGAACGTAATAAAGAGTCTAGGCTTCAGCTGTAGCTCTGACTGTAGATATTGCTGACAACAAGCAATCTGAATTTGGAAAAAATATAAAAAAATAATTTGACACCTGAAATAATACCAGTCACAACACTGTAATTGGTTAGAATTGAGAAGGCATTGGTTTTCTTTCATTCCAGCCATTATTTTAGGGTCTGCTTAGTCACAGTACAATATACGTATTGTATGTAACAGACCAAAAAAAAAAGCATGACATCTTGACAAAAAAGGGAAATCACTAATTTCTTAAAGCAAATCCCCATGTGAATGAAATATTATTTTCCCCCTTAATGTCAGACGAGCTGTCTAGGGAATACTAGAGGTTGCCTTTTGGCAGCAAAATCTAAATGTTGTATTTTAAGCTCCCGATGATCACTTAATCCTGCAGCTGGTGAACAAATCTCACAGTATACTTCCAGGGTATACCGACAGATAGGATAGCATATAATTACATACTGGCTAAATTGTGGAGATTCCTGTAGACCAAACAACCAAGCATACTGTGTATTAGTGAAATATATCAGGACATGCTTATAATCCAGCTCAGAGATGCTCTTTCGACGCTGAGCGCTCTGCATCCTGTGCATGGAGACAACACCAAGAGTTAGCAAACAGCTTCAGTGATTCATTCAGAGTACGGGAGTCAGGGGCTGGTCAGGGGGAGGGGAGAATTGAGATTAAACATGTTTTTATGTAATGAGCATTTCAGGCTGGCGTAAAAAAAAAAATGGAGAAAGTGAAGTGAGGCCACATATACCAGGGATCAATAGTGGGTTTAATTCCAAGAGGAGCCATACATCTGTCTGTTATTAGTCCAAGCAGTATTATTTAAAGACATTTATTATTTATTTTACCCTTATAACATATATCACACATTTCAGAACATCTTCAGTTCAGAATCTGTTGAAATATTCACTGTAAAGGTTGTGTAGCTAAGACAATATCAGGATAGTTATTTGAAAAGACTACGCTTAAACTAATTCTTGTACATGCCCTACAGAAACCACCCTGCCCTGGTCCCTGGTTCCTTTACTAGATATTTATGTTTTTCTGACAAATTGTGTTACTGCGGCAGTGCATTTAGTGGAATCATGAATTTTGTGAATAGCTTCTTCTTAATCCTTGAGCAGTGAAAACCTTTTTTAAGGTTTATGTTTATTTTGGTCTTCTAATATCCTCATGTAAAATGGTTGTAGTATTATGTAATAATAGCCTTTACAAAAAATCCTTAAAAATATAAAAGGGCACTAAAAGCAGTCACTTGGATTAAAGCTGAACTATTGATTTATTCTGCTTTGTGGAGGAGATGTGTGTAATAAGATTATGCAACAGTCACGCAAAGGTTACAAAAATAATATTGTATACATTGTCTGTCCACTCAGGGGGTCACTGACTGCTTGATACACAATGAAAAAGAAACGGCTGAAAAAGTCAACTCGTCACATTCATCCTCATGCTGTTGAAAATGTATGCTAGGTTTTGAATGCAGAGGAGGAACCTGCAACACTGGAGGATATAAAGAATCCTTTTTTTTTTTTTGATTGAAGTCAACCTTTGAATCTAATTTTGACAATTTTTGCACATTAACAACTCCATATGTTCCGGGAGACAGTTTGATCACCTTCCTTGTGTATTACTTCTACTCTGAACCTTGTTGGTAGTTTAGGGATGTTTGACATCAGGATTACATTATTATGAAAACACAGATAACGTTATGGCAAATTGCAGACAAACTGTGCAAGCAAACATCTTTAGACCCAGTCTTTGGGGTGACATTTATTGTGGTGACAATAATTTTTTCAGGTTTTTTTTGTGTTTTTTTGTCAGCCTCTCACCCTCTCCTTTGATGTTTTCCTCTCTTGGCTGTAACTCTGTACTGTGTGTCTCACTGCGTTCAGAGGATGGCAGACAGGACTGTGGATGGTGGGCCATGGACAGGATGTGCAGTTATGTTTCTGCAGTCGCTCTGTCCTCGTGTTGACCTGCTTTCTCTCTTCAAAGACCAGAAACAGGGAAAGTTCATTGTCTTTAAAGTCATCAAGCTGACACTTACAGGTAAGCTCTGTATTGAAGGACCTCAACCTTTTAATACTAAATAGGACCAAATACAAAACAATCTTTATCATATTAATAAGACATTTGTTCTGCATTTAACATCTTGTGTATTGCTCTGAAATGTTTTATGGTCAGATTCTGCAGGAGGATTGGGTGGTTATGAGATACTTAAGGTCCATGACGCTGATCCCTTCCTGGGGGTGGAGG